TAAACCCAAAGTAGGGTCACACCATTTGTGCAATCATACATGTACCTAGCATAATGATGTTCATCTCATTCCACTATCTTTACTATCCCCATGTCCCCCACCCTCCCCAGTTTTATGGGGAACTTTGGCTGATCCAAAGTTCCTCCACTCATCCCATGCCCTGCCACCCATTATGGATTWGCATCCACTTATCAGAAAACATTCGACCTTTGGTTTTTTGGGATTGGCTTACTTTGCTTAGCATGATATTCTTAACTTCATCCATTTACTGCAAATGCCATAATTTTATTCTTCTATTGCTGAAAAATATTTCATTATATATATCAATCACAGTGTCTTCATCCGTTTATCTCTTGAAGGGCATATAGATTGGTTCCACAGTTTGACTATTTTGAATTGTTCTGCTATAAACATTGATGGGGGTGTGTCATTACAGTACACTGTTTTTAAGTCCTCTGGGTATAGACCAAAGAGTGGGATAGCTGGGTCAAATTGTGGTTCTGGTCCAAGTTTTCTAAGGAATCTCCATATTGCTTTCCATATTGGCTGCACCAATTTGCAGTCCCACCGGCAATGTATATAAATTCAATTTCTTGGAATTTCGTTTTCTAGTAGCTCTAACAGACTTCTAGCTTCATAAAATAATTAAATTTAATCATAAYTTGATAGTGTTTTATATACTAAGTATCACTGTCTCCAAATTTGATTTGGTTGAAGTGTTCTTAGATGATTCATTAGTCCTTATTGTTTTGTGGGGGGGGGTATTGGGAATTGAATCCAGGGGCACTGAGCTACATCCCAGTTCTTTTTATTTTTTTGAAATAGGGTCTTGCTAATTTGCTGAAGGTCTCACTAAATTGCTGAGATTGGCCTAGAATTTGTGATCTCTGGGATTACAGGTGTTTGCCACTGCATCCAGCTAGTCCTTTATCTTTTTTGGRGTTTATCTCTGAGAATCTGATGAAAGATATGGAGTTCCCCTTCCCCCATGTTCTGCCCTCCCATAGAAATATGTGCATATACACAATTTTTAAAAGTTCATGGTTACACTGAAACAAACCCATGGAAATATGGTTAGAAATAACTACCATTGATGAATATTCCTTATTCTTTAAACTGACCTTTATAGAAACTTGCAAGTGTAATCATTTTTATTTAAAAACATGGCTCATCTATGCCTATTAAACCATATTCTAAATGTAATTTTACAGCTTTTTGATGACTGTGAATCATTACCAGCAATCACTGCAATGTGGCTAATTCAAGAAATAAAGAAATAGGGCAATGTCATTTAGGAGTTCTGTTAAAGTTACAGGCCTTGATTTATAAGGATAATTTTATACTTACTGATCCTGTAACCTTGGCTGTCTCCTCTCTCATGCATGTGTGTGTCAGTTCTTACAGACCTTTCTTCTAATTCTGTTCCAGTAATAAAGCAGAAAAACCAGCTTGTTAAGTAAAATTGTATCCCTACTGCTGTGAGCCAAGGGGCTCAGGATTGCCTAAGGGCAGTGGTGCTGTATATAAACAGCTGACAGTCTTCATTGTGCACTTACTCCACGGAGTAAGCAGTGTTCTGCCTGTTGGACTGCCAAGAGGGATAGCAGGGTGAGATTATCTGTAAAAAGTTTTTCTAGGAAAAAGTTAGGGCCATCTACTTTAGTTAATAATTAAACCATGCAAAAGAAAACTCACCTTTTTGTTATTCATTTCTATTGTAATCTTGTTAATGAATTATATAAAATAGACCTAATTTACACTTAATATGAATATATACTTATGAATATATATTTATGTTTAAAATCCCAATTATTTTGGTAGTAATTTTGTTGTAAGTGGAAGGCATTTTTTTGCTCCTTCAGTTTTAGAAGAAATCCTTATATCCTGACAGGACTCAACAAAGGTTACAAAATATCTAATGCAGAACTGAATTATGGAGGCATTGCATCTTACACAATAAACTGCTAGAATTAACTCCTCTAGGGCTCAAATCCAAGAATCTTGTGCCCTTGTGAATTACTTCTTTGATCCTGGGGCAGTAGATGCCAAGGGCCTAAGAACAGAATTACTGAAGATATTTTTCTTATTTGTTTTTTGCCAATATGTATGAACAATGTGAATTCACTGTATTTTATAAACCAAGTAAATTTCAACAGGAAGCAAAACTACCAAGTGAATTTCAACAGGAAGTAAGTATAAAAGAGAGCTCATGTTAAAATAAATAAATAATAAAAAATTATAGCRTTAGAGATAGTGAATAAATAATTTCAGTTAGTTGCAGTAACAAGAGTCTTTTTTATGGACTTGATATCAGAACCCATCATTGCTAATACTCTGGGGGAAAAAGTCAACTTAAATATTAAGAGCTTATGAGATCATTAAAGTATCTCTCCAATTCTACACTTAAGTATATATAAACAGGCCAGTATTTGCTGGCATCACATTTTCAATTCCATTTGTCATTGGGCATTAGGTTAGTCTAAATATTCCACACAGATTCCAACTCTGGGCAGAGAGTAACCAAGGCATTCAAGACTCTCAGGTAAAATGAAAACATCAGAAATAATTCTCACTGGAAAAGTACTATYCTTATTACAGATATTCAAAGAAAAAGCCTATTTATTAATGCCAAGACTTTCCTCTCTATATTCACATCTATTGTCAAGTTACATAACTCTCTTGGTGCCTCAGTTTTGTCAAATTAAAAATGGAAATGATGGGCTGGAGTTGTAACTCAGTAGTAGAGTGCTTGCCTACTGTGCCTAGCCTGTAATCCCAGCAGCTCAGGAGGCAGAAGCAGGATGATCCAGTTCAAAGCCAGCTTCAGCAAAAGCATAGGCCATAAGCAATTCAGTGAGACCCTTTCTCTAAATGAAATAAAAAATAGGGCTGGGGATGTGGCTCAGTGGTTGAATGTCCATAAGTGCAAGCCCCAGTATAAAAAAAAAATGGAAATAGGAAAAAATGTTAGAACTGTATAAGAATCTTAAAAACAACAACAGTGTCTGGAATATAGAAAACACTAAGTAAGCATTTATATATTATTTTATTATCAGTACTTAAATAGCAAGTTRGGAAAATATATTAAAAAATTTTTCAAAGACTTAAAAATAAAAATTTCTATATATTAAAAACCTATTTAAAAAGAATAGAAGATCCAATCCACAATGGAACCAAAAAAGATAAGACTATATACAGTACCTATATAAAGAAAAATTTTGATTTTTTAAAGATTTAGACAAAAATATTGTGCCTATATATGAATATATAACAATGAATCCTTTATGTACAACTGTAATGCACCAATGTTAAAAAA